TGGCCACCACTTTCGACGAGTTCACGAAACTCGTGGTCACGAAATCGCGCGGCGGTTCCGGCGGTCCTAAACTGGTCTTCACTCCAATACAACTCAATGTCAACAAACGTGACATCACTTTCGCGAATCAACTCTTCATTAACAACGAGTTCGTCGACGCGTCCGATACGAGCCGTGTGTTGAGGACTATTAACCCAAACGACGAGTCCGTCATTTGCAGCGTCCAGTCGGCGACCAAAGGGGACGTCGACCGAGCGGTGAAGGCGGCCAACGATGCGTTCGAGTCGGGCGAGTGGCCACTCATGAACGCCAGAGATCGGGGAAAACTCATGTTCCGATTGGCGGACCTCATGGAGCAGCACAAGGAAGAGTTGGCCACTATTGAGTCCATCGATTCGGGCGCTGTCTATACGCTGGCCATCAAAACACATATCGGTTTGACATTAGATTTCAAAATATAAATGAACACAGATAGTAAACTCTCTGTTTGTGTGTCCAATAGGTATGTCGATCGACACGTGGTTCGGGCGCTGTCTATACGCTGGCCATCAAAACACATATCGGTTTGACATTAGATTTGAAAATATAAACGATCACAAATAGTAAACTCACTGTTTGTGTGTCCAATAGGTATGTCGATCGACACGTGGCGATACTTCGCCGGTTGGTGTGACAAAATCCAGGGCTCAACAATTCCCATAAACAACGCGCGACCGAACCGTAACCTATCGTTTACAAAGAAGGAGCCGATCGGTGTGTGCGGTATAATCACGCCATGGAATTACCCGCTAATGATGGTGTCCTGGAAAATGGCCGCCTGTTTGGCCGCCGGCAACACAGTTGTCCTAAAACCGGCTCAAGTAATGCAGCGATTGATGGATATAAATGTGACACAACATTAAACCCATATTTGTTTGACAGGTCTCTCCGTTGACTGCCCTTAAATTGGCCGAACTGTCGGTTTACGCGGGTTTCCCTCCGGGTGTGATCAACATCCTTCCGGGCACGGGCTCTGTGTGCGGTCAGGCCATCGCAGACCACCCGCTCGTACGTAAACTGGGTTTCACGGGCTCGACGCCCATCGGACAGACAATCATGAAGTCGTGCGCCGAGTCTAACATGAAGAGAGTGTCACTAGAATTGGGCGGAAAGTCGCCGCTAATCATCTTCAACGACGCCGATCTCGACCGCGCCGTACGGCACGCCATGGGTGCCGTCTTCTTCAACAAAGGTTTGCATAAATATACTGTCAATGAGTTTGCGGCCAATAATTGTATGGTTAAAACTATAGGCGAGAACTGCATAGCGGCCGGACGTCTATTCGTCGAGCAGTCAATTCACGACCAATTCGTGAGTCGAGTGCTGGAGGAGACCAAAAAGATCAAGATCGGCGACCCATTGGATCGGTCGACATCGCACGGCCCCCAAAACCACCGTGCTCATCTCGAAAAACTGGTCGAATACGCGCAGATCGGGGTGAAAGAGGGCGCCAAACTGGTGTACGGGGGCGCGCAGGTGGACCGCCCGGGCCTGTTCTTCACGCCCACTATATTCACGGCCGTTACGGACGACATGTATATCGCGCGCGAAGAGTCTTTTGGCCCGATTATGATTGTCAGTACGTTTCCCGACGGCGATGTGGACGGAGTGCTGCGTCGGGCGAACGCCACGGAGTTTGGTTTGGCTTCGGGAGTGTTCACTCGCGACATATCCAAAGCCCTGTACGTCACTGAGAAGGTGAACGCCGGCACCTGTTTTGTGAACTGCTATAACAAGACCGACGTCGCCGCGCCTTTCGGCGGATTCAAACAGTCCGGTTTCGGCAAAGACTTGGGACAGGAGGCCCTCAATGAGTACCTCAAGACCAAGACTATTACCATTGAATATTAGGTGGCTTTACAAGTTAACTGTTAACCTTCTCTCTCTCTCTCTCTCTCTCTCTCTCTCTCTCACTCTCTCT